TCATAGCCGCAGGATGCATTTGTGAATTTATACTCACCTTGAATGGTAACGCTAATGCTTGCCTGTGTAATTCCCTGATTTTATATTCCACAAAATTTGGAGGTATGTAAAATAAAGTGTGCTCAAAAACTTCTTCAATATTTATTTTGCAACTACGAAGATTAGTCAAGATGACGAATCCTCTAAAATATCTTATCGCAATTTCAGCTCGATGGTGGTCTCATCAAAGATCTCAGGTGGCTACAAATTTCAATCGACAATGGATTCCAATCACTAATCTTGCCAGTCTCATATTAAACCTTGTCCCACTGACGACAATTTTGCCAATTTTTTTCATACCAAGGCATCCTGTCTACGTGCCAAATATATTTCCCCACAATACGTTGGTTTATTTCGTAGTTTACATAGTATATATTCCTTCCTTAACTTATTACATGTATCATTTGGCATATTTAATGAAGACGATAATTTTTGAGTCATGTGCATTTTTTATATTCCTCCTTCCACTTATCCGTGACGAGCTAAATCTTGAGAACAACAACCTTAACAGAAATTTTCAGTGTGCCCCAGATTTAAGGATGAATCCAGAAAATATTGTCCTGGTCTATAGAAGTTTGCAGCTAATAATGAAACTAGTCGCGTCCGCGGTGGGTCCTTATATCCCACTTACTCAAGCTTTATTTGGTCAAATGTTTATTTCAACGGGATACGTGCTTATCGTTGAGGGGAAAAATTTGAACGTGTCGTTATCGCTATTTCTTTTAAGCTGTATTCCATTCGCGATGATATTCTGGGTCATATTTCTCTCTTTTGCTGCTAAAGTCGACAAAGGGTCACGAATTTGCATAAGGTCTTGGAAATCTGGGGGGACAGGATGGTCCAAGCAGGAGACGAAGTACATAGGCAAATTTATAAAAAGCTGCAAGTCATTATTTTTCGGTTACCCTGGAATAATGACAATCACGCATAAAACAGTGGTTAAATTTATCCAAGGAAATATTCGTGGGTTGTTCAGATTGGTTCTGACTTTCAAGAGGTAAACTAATGTATACATTATACGCATCTACTCACATACTATAGTATGTGAGTAGATGTGTATAATAAAATACTTAATTGACATATGAAAATAATGGCCTCGGTTTGGATTTCCAACATACAGTCTGTAGACCTAATTTATTCATAGCAAATTATAATAAATACGATTATGCACGAATAAAATACATTCTTGTTTGGAGTTTTATTAACGTGTCAACAGAGATCAATTCATTACAAATTGGTTTACACACCATGACACAAGTAGCATATAAATTTTTATAAGCATCTGTCAGTTCGTGTCCTTGTTCTTTAATATTTTCGACCTATGGTCCATCAAGAAAAAAATTACGGTGACGTTTAACCACAAGAAGAAGACATCCCCGATATCCACGGCTTATTCCTAGACAAGTTTTACAATGAGGTCGGAAAGGTTTAGCATAACTGTGAGGCAGGCTATTGAATTGAGGACTTATTTATTATAAATAGATATGCGTCCTAAGACAGGTTTTTCTGACATAAATATTTATGTATGTTTAGCTGAAATAGAATTTGACTACGTAAATTCGACCATTGATTGTTGAACATATTTTAATTACAACTTATGTACATATTTATTTACAAATGAAATAAGAATATCATCGTCGAGTTGCTAATAGGCATCCTAATGAATCAATTTAAATTTAGATTAACTTGCAATGTTTAAGTACACATCTTATGAATCGGAGACTATTGAATTCTACTCGAAATTATAATGGTGACATACATACATTCAATTAAGAATCAGCTCTGGATGGATTCGTATTGTCATCGAGTAGTTATCGAATACATATAAGATAAGATATAAATTAGGCTCGGATACGTTCACAATTATATGACTACTGCGTATGTTTATAATAAATATTATTGCAAAATTTTGAGAACATCAAAATACTCCAAAAGACCAAACCTAACGTATTCTGAAAATAATCTATAATGTGAAGTACAGTCAATTGTTTACTAAAGACTTATAATTTGTATTAGAAATGAATTTCGTGTGTATGTACATGCATACGATGTAACTTATGTAATTATGTATAAACACAGACTTATGTAAACAGTGGAATAAAATTGAAATTAATGTGAAAATAACACAATTAATGCACTAATTATGTTATACATATGTGCATGTAAATATTTATGTATGTATGTATGTATGTGTATTTCAATTTACATGTAAAATTACATTAACGTAAAAATTTTGGAAATGTGTGTATGTGTAATACAGGGTATTTCCATTTTATAGTCCGAGTCGCAAATTTCTCGTAGTTTTTGAAACAACAGCGCTAAATAAAATATTGCGTGTGTTTTGGAAAGCTTAGTTCAAGTTGAACCAGTCCCTGCTTGCTCCATTTCGAGATTCCAAAGATGGATCCTAAAATTGACCCCAAAGTGTTACTTGGCGTGGAAGCAGTTTGCCAGGCTATAATGGCATATAAAAAAGTAGCAAATCAATTCGGAGATGAAAGAATTACTGTTTCTAAAGCCATAGTGTCTGCAATAAAGAATTATGTTGTAAAAAGGCAGCAGGCCTTAAATCTGGAGGTGCCATGGCCGCCAAAAGCATGCCCCCCGAAAAATTAGAAAACTGATGATCTTAAGAAAAATTGATGTGGACATGTCAATTGAAAATTGTTGAACCAAAAATCAACTGGCAAAGAAGTGTACGGTCCACGGGGGTACACTGAAGTGAATTAATCATCAAGATATGCACTACTTCGGCCAGAATCAGTAGATATGTGCTGTTCATGAAACTTTTTCTCCGACGCGGGTTGAATGACCACCCAGTACGCAGCCAATTTTTCTTTAATATTCGAAATTTGAGCTATTTTACATAAATCCAAAGTAGTTACGTCCGATTATGTGCCTTCAGTGCATTATTTTTGATTTCCACCTTCAGATTCACACTATTTGTAAATTGCCATCAAAATTTTTCGATGTGTTTTGCAAACTTTCAGATAAAAAGCAGTTCGAAGAAACTCTGCTGTCGGCTTTAACATAATCACTTCTTAGAAGTTAGAACTTCATTCCTCATCAGAAATGAATGAGGATTACGATTAAAATACGTAAAATATTCAGCGACACGTATTTCGCCCAGAAAGTTAAGGTTAGTGACTCGGACTATAAAATGGAAATACCCTCAGTATGCTGAGTGTTTCTAATTTCGAGTTAATCGCCACCAATTGGGTCCACTCCGTCAACGTCTTACACTCACCGGCCACAACTAATAAGTACATAGTTTGTGAAATAATCTGAATAAAAATCCCGATGCCAAAATATTAATTAATTTGCCGGCAAAATTTATGAACAAAAATTCCAGCCTTTTCCCAAGAATTTAAGTGAAATCAGGGAAAGTTGGTAACACTGGAGAAGATACATACGCTCATATGTATCTTTGGTACATTTGTATGTACGCTCAATTTGTGAGATTTGCCAGATCGAAAACCAATTAAATATTTTATCACTACGCTGTAAATACAAATAGGTATATATGTACGCACATATGTACAGTATTGTAACGATGTATCGTCAGTACTTACGTGTACATTTGCTGATTAGACACTTACCGGATTGATGAATAGTGTACAAAGTACTTTATGCGATGCTGATTAGTGTGTTATACCTAGAAAAACCACAATTGTTACATATTTGTAACATACTTGAGTACATAATTGAATTATGGGGTGACCAATGGTCATAAATCATTCAAACGTTACCAATTTGACAGCTCAAGTAATTCCCAGGTCTGTTACAAAACTCGAAACTGTATCGAGACAATGGAACCACAAAATATGTAACGCTGTTATCAAGTGCCTCTGTCCAATTGATGGATGATGTTCAGGTGGTATTATTCAAGTAGGTACGGTGGGTTCGCATAAAAACTAATATGGAAAAAGAGTGGTCAAAGTTACCTTGCATACACATAATGACACACGAGACCTACACATGTCACATTTACACTACTTAAACAATAAAATGATGTTCCCAGGTTAATACCTGGTTTCAATGTGTTGCATTATCTAGTTTTTACGGGGTTGGGAGTTTGGGTTTTCTGGGTTCCAAATTAGTAAAACTCTAGGCTTCTACTGTGCTATTGAGGTTTCCTATGGGTTTACTGGGCTTTACGTAAAATCTAATTAAATCAGTAAAAATTTGGTAGACTCCGGTTATGCAACCAGCATTAAGATATTTCTTCAATTTGCTTATTGTATAGCAAAAATATTTAACATTCATTGCTTTATTACCAAACATTGAGTTCAACAAGTAATAACGCTTGCAGAATGGTTTCTTGGAGTAAATTCCATGGTTTTTTAACCCTTAGTGTTCCCATAAAACAATAGTGCATATCGTTACTCTTCATGCAAAGAATTTCAGAAAATAGGTAGTTAGAAGGCAGTGGTTTCAAGCCACAATTCAGAAAATACGCTACAAGTTACATATATATTTAGCGTCTCATTCTTCGAAAAATCTCCCAAAAAATCAGGGACGACTTAACTTTCTCCAACTGAACGTATATTCACAGTAGGAAAAAGTCTGGCTATTTATCCAACAAATGTATGTATGTACGAATAACGACGCACATACAATTTTCCTGAGTTGGGCACCCTGTCCAGTTCACCAATTAGATTATATCATGTCCTCAATCAATAATTCTGCTGATGCAAGCTTGTACCAAAAGGATTAAATTGTTGTCAAGTTACTTTAACGTGGTTACAAAACCATTACTGATATCTCTCGGATATTTATAAATTCCAGCATCACTCACCCATGCACATAAATATGTGCATCCCACTTCTGCATGATTTTGTAACAGCGATAACCACCTTATCCACAACGCATATAAAAAATATATTTGTTGCCATGCTTATTCTGGCTGTCTCATCACTCTTTCGAAAGTCCGCATCCATCAATCCGATATTATTTCGAGTGTTACGCCACAGCGAATAAAAAGCCAGCCCTGAACCTGCCAGTGTCACACTCATATCCGAAACTTATACCGAGAAACAAGTCTCACTTTACCCTGCAAACATGCGACTCGCATCTTTCGTCCTCGCCTCCATCTCGCTGCTGGTGCAGCAAGACGCCGAAAAATATAAGCAAGACGACTATCTCAGAACTAAGGCTGAATTAGACCCAGATTTAAGTTTGCCGCGGGTTAAAACGTACGATTTTATTGTCGTGGGCGGCGGTACGGCGGGCTGTCTCGTGGCTGGAAGATTGTCCGAGCATCATAACGTTCTTCTCTTGGAAAGCGGGGGCACTCCCGTCCCCACGACGGCGAATCCGTTTTTAAACGAGTTCGTTGCTACGAATCCCGCCATCAATAATATTTTTGAGTCTGTCCCGCAATTCAATTTTGATCAGGAGGGTGGCGGGGTAAGATGAGAATTAGATTATACGGTTATGTAAATGTGTAATTTAAAATTTTGAACTTTTTCAGATTGTGAAAAGCCACACGGGAAGGATGCTAGGAGGTTCGGGATCACATAATGGGAATTTTTATAATCGGGGAAGCCCACGTGACTATGATAACTACGCTTTACTAACGGGAGACCCCACTTGGAGATATGAAACTGTTTTGAACCACTTTAAAAGTTATGAGAATTTTATTGGAGATTTGATCCAGGAAGATAGCAGAAATGGTGAGTAATTATAATTATAAATTTATTGTAATTCGCAGAAATAAATAGTTTTATTAACTGTTAATGGTACAATTAAGAAATGACAATTAGAGTATTTTTAATTAATGGGAAAATTAAAATTTCTATGTATTTCCTTATTTTTTTCCTAGAATTCTATGCGACTGGCGGACTTTTGACCGTGAATACGGACATGCCTCCAATTTTACCAGCCTGGTTTCAAGCAGCAGCCGAACTCGGGTATCCAACCGGTGACCCCAACGGAAATCAAACCGAAAGTGAGACACAATAAGATCAGAAATTTTATAGAAATTTATAGTAAATTATTTTCTGGAGTTAGATTTTCATTAAATTTTTATTTCTAGGTTTTACACCGGCTGCAATGTCGGTCGAAAATGGGGAGAGAGAAAGCACTTACACCGCATTTATTAAACCTTTTGAATCCACGCGAACTTCTTTGACGGTTATGAGATACTCAGAAGTTGAACAGGTTTGTTAAACAAATTTTTCGAAAAAATTTTATTCGGGTTACTTTGTCCATGAATGGCTCATCTTACTCTATCTTACCTTAAGATTCTCATCAACGAGCGAAAAGCAGCATACGGCGTTATATATAAACGTCACGGAATTCCACAAATTGCTCACGCCCTTAAAGAAGTGATTGTCAGTGCGGGAACAATTTCATCCCCCCTACTCCTCATGAAGAGTGGAATCGGTCCGGAAGCCGCTTTAAACGCTGCTGGGGTAACATAAGACAAAATTAATAATATGCAAATAACCACCCTCATTCCTTATCTATAATCCAAAAACAACTTTCCAGATCCCCGTCGAAATCAATCTTCCCGGCGTCGGCAAAAATCTTCGTGATCATTCCGCCGTCGTGTTAAGATTCACCGCACAGAACGCTAATCCCGCCCTTCTTCCCCGAATTACGGACATGGAAGCGGCCATCGCTGCGTACCAAGAAGCCAACAGGACCGGTTTCCTGACTCGACTGGACGTCGGTCCGCAAGCATTCATTTCGTCATCGAGAGCAAAAGCAAACGGTGAAGCGAACTGGCCAGATCACCAGATCGTTTTCGCCCAACACGGTCTCATCGACGATGGCACGACCAATGTCGCCCTTGCTTTGCAGATTATTCTTAATCGGGCCGAATCCGTGGGAGAGATTGGCTTCAACTCGACCAATTACTTGAATGGAGAGAGGGACGATAAAAATTTGGCCCTCATCGATTTTAAACTTTTTACCGTACTTTCCGACATGGAAGTTATGATTGAAGGTGAGTCCTGAAATTTTGATCACCAAAATTCTGAAAAACTTGGTTAAATATTCTTATCTAACGAAAAAAAACCTGGTTCACGGCCCAGTTTCTCTCAAAATGATGCATTATTTTTGCAAAGCTAAGTTTTCATAGCAATTTTTTTGCAAATTTTTCCTAAACTTTGCAAACAAAAAATATGCAATTTAGAACTGATGTTTGTTTGGGTCAATTTTATTTGAACACTCGACTAATTTTTTCATTACTAACTAGGAATTAGACTTGGCTTACAAATCATGGAAAATACGACCTCCTTTCAACAAATGAACGTCGCATATACGGAAAGTACGCCGGAAGCGTGTCAAGGAATTCCGTACAGGTCGAACCAATACTGGATGTGTTACGTCCAACAACGTGGCTACTCGTGGCTCCATATCGTCGGTACTTGCTCAATGGGTCTGCCTGGAAATCCTATGACCGTGGTGGATTCTCATTATAAGTAAAATTTACAAACAATTACACATTTCATGAAATCATTAAGTATAATTTAATGATTTAATTTTCTTCATAATTTTTCCAGGGTCCTGGGAATTGCTGGACTGCGTGTAATAGACGCCAGCGTGATGCCCAGGACGACAAATGCTAATTTAAATGGTGGGGTAATATTGGTGGCGGAGAAGGGGGCTCAGATGATTTTGGAGGAACATAATGAAGCTAAAAAGAATTAAATAAGTTGCAAAATACTATGAATAAGTAGTCTTATTATGCACTTTTGGATTTTGTAGATATGTAGGTAAATAGTTATTATTACCCGATGTACATATGTAAATATCTCAATTGTCAGGAAATAAAAATGTAAATAAAGATAAATTATTATTTAAACATAGAAAGAAGTAGACTGAATTATCGGTGTGATCAAGTAAAGGACATGGCATAAATCATTTATTATCGCAGAATTTTATGCTTACTAATGCAAAAATGCATATATGACACGTATGTATGCTTAAATGCATATAAATATTCATATATATGTACATACATATGCGTATAGGTAGGTATGTATCCTTCTCATGCATGTAAATTATTTCATGAGATAGAGACAGTCAACCTGGTGACTGGTGTGGTTGGTCAGTTAAAGATTAGAAATCGTGCACAAATTTGTATGATGATTTTCATAGCACGAAACAAAATGGGGAATTGTGTAGTTGTTGATGTATGTACAATTTATGGACTGATGGAATTTACATAATTTCAAATTTAGAAATACATATTTGATAACATGAGCTTCTATTCATATCTAATATGTTCAATACGATTTGCACGATTGAAAATGATTACAAAATAGATTTTATACTTATTTGACTATTTGTTCGCTAATTTAATCAATGTTTAAGTGATAATGTATGTAACATGAACATATAAGGGACATATGCAAAAATAGATCATGTCCAAGACATCGTGAACATCATTTTATTACCAATTTGGCGCTTAAGTAGATTGACGCCAAGAATTATTTTGAGGAAGCCACAGAGAGAAAACATTTCTCGATGCATAAAATTTATTTAGCTTGTGCACTTTAAATATGCCCTTGATCTAGTCTAATGTCACGGCTAGAAGAATCGAATACGTGACGAAAAACACGTATCACTTTTAAAATATGTTCACCTCAAAGGTAACCATTTGTTTATCAATGGTAAAACCATAAATAATTAATTCGCAACTCTGCGCAATTTAACATTTACAGCCACTAGTTAAATATTTGTATTTACATACATACATTTGGTATGTAGCACAAAAAGCATGTCACACAATTCACGGCCTCTGTAGGCCGGAGTAATTTTAAGTTTGACTTTCGCAATTCTTTTTAACATTTACATATTTATCAATAACCTAACGGAGAAAATGTAAAAGGTTTGCAATTGTACTAAGTCCTTGCATAATACACATAAATATCCATACAAAAATATAAATCAGAATGAAACTGTTTCAACGCATTTTAGCTCAATATCTGTACATTTGTTATTTGTTTAAATTAACTACTGTCGTTCTGCTGCCATCCTGTCTTGCAAATAGTGAGAATTTCATCAGCGAACTTGGGGACAGGTTGACGTTAGGAACTATTCAATACATCTTTGTCGAGCCCCCCACGACCGATCAATTTAACAAGCTTCTGCCACATTTTAATGAAATTCCAGTTGTTTTAGATTGCATTCCTTTCCAGAGGTTCGTTGATGAAACTGGTATTTAGCTGTAATGATCACCATACAAGTACAGCCGACTCTTTCGATCCTGTAGAACCTGACCCCATAAAACCCGACCTAGTAGAACCCGATCCTGCAGAACCGGACCATGTACAATCTGACCCCGTTAACACCACCACTTTAGAACCGGACCATGTAGAATTTGACCCCGTCAATACCACCACTTTAGAACCAGACCTAGAATCTGACCCCGTCAACACCACCACCTTAGAACCAGACCTAGAACCAGTAAAAGCCGATCACGCTGAAAACAAGCCTGTAGAAAAGAACTATTATAAATACTCGCATAATCCCACAATTTTAAGTGTAATCCATTTAAATTCGCCATCAACAAATGAAAAGGACGACATATTCAGTACACTTTGCTCACTGAAGGAAATCCCCTTGCTTGAAAAAAATCCGCACTATGTACTATTTATTTCAGAGAGCGTGATATCACAAAGCATTGCAAATTATCAGTTTGACATTCCCTCTAAATTTCTTGTAATAAGTCCAAATTTTTCCGATATGCTCTACTCCATATTATTACCAACCAGATCAGTAGAGGTCATTGATGTCCAAAATTTAGATGCAGTTTTGAGGAGACAACAATAATCTGCAACAAATCGAATTTCTAGTCAGCTCCGGCGATGACGATAATGACATCGCTTTCGACCAGCCCTATCCTTGCCCATTAAAGGTGAAAAACCAAAATACCGTTAATAACTGCATCCTGCAAGAATTGGCTAAGCGTTATGGACTGTCCGGTGAAGTTAATTGTCAAGCTATTTTTACCTAGAGTAAATGAATGCGTGAATCAAATCTAACGAAACTTTGGTGGAATACGAACGATGAAAATGCCAAAGTTTTTCAACCCTTCAGTGGTTCAGATACCCCTTCCGTACCGGTGGAGAGAATACTTTATCGAGGACCTCTCATGAGCACTTTGCCACTCGTTTCACCAATGTTAATGATGAATTTCTCTATAACCTGCCGAAATTTTTCAAAATTTTTTGGTGTCCTTTCTTCATGAGAGTATTATTTCTTAATTTATGCCCAAAATCTTTCAATGGGTCGACACTAAGGTACATTTGGAGCGCAGTATTTTTTACCGACAAAATGAACTTTTTTCCCTCGGAGGTACCCGGTCAATATTTTGGCAATGTAACACGTACCTATGTTCGGTAAAAATAAAACGTCTTGGTTTTTGATAGAGGGGGTCTATCGCTTGATGATACACACTTTGAAATAAAGTTCAAAGTTCATATTCCTGGTGGAAGCGAATGGATTTGAGACGTTCCCATTTTTGTCGATATCCGGCCATTTTATGTATTTCATTGGAAATCTTGCTTGGTTTTGCATTTATATTTCGAACGAACGTTATTTTTACTTGTACATGAGTAGACCTTTACAGGATTAACGTTACGAGCTCAAGGAGGCACTAGTTTTCATCATCCAGGACGACAAACTTCTGGGAGTCGATTTTGACATTTTCTCAACAAGTTTTCAACAAATTGCTTTAGCTCCTCCGTTTTATCTTCGTTGTATTTTTCCGTGGTTTTTGGTTTGCAAGTTTTGAAGCCCATCTTATTGGCATTGATCTTTCGCAGATAGGTTTTGAATTTTTTAGTTTTCTTAGCCCTAGGGGATATGTTGGGGTGGCCCTTAAAGGATTTTTTTACGTTTCTCGTCAGTATTTTGGTGTACTGGCGGACAGGTGGACACGTGGAAATTTTATATTTCGAATTTTTACAATCCTTAGATATGTGTAGTGTATGACTAATTTTGTCCGGGCCATCCCTTGAAGAATGAGGTGGTCATGAGCATTTCTCCGATCCGAAAAAATCAGTTTTTCACACGAGTGGTAAACGAATTTTTCCACTTCCTCTAAATTTTGTGCCGTCATTTTTTAACCAATAGAGATAATCAAATTCTATTTTCAGCTTTAGAAAGCTTATCAAATTTGTTAGTTTTTGTGTTTTTTTATTTATCCAAAATTAGTTTTTAAGTGGTGGAAAAAATTGGGGGAACCTTGACACTATCTTTCACCGGACAGTCCATATAATCTCTCTTTAACTGCTGCACCATACAACTTCAATACTTCTATCGGTCTAACAAGCTATTGGTACGATGAAGGGACAATCGATGGAATTTTCAACGATATTCGATACATTTATAAGGAAATGGACAAAGAGGCTTTCACTTTTCTTGTAATCATTCCAAGACCAACTGGCTTAAAGGGTTTCAAAGCTTTGATAGAGCCCTTGGACTTAACCACGTGGCTTTGTTTGTCACTTACTTTTGGATTAATTACTCTAATAATATCGTTGGACGAGGGCACCATAGCAATAAAAATAGACTACTTGTGGACTGTATATTCAGTCCTCTTGTACCAGGGTAACAATAGAATCAGCGCCCTAAGCCGAAATTGTCATAACTTCGCTTGGGTGGTTTCATTTATATTGCCAATCATGGTGTTAGGTTGCCTCTATCAGGGAGAATTGGCAACATCCGTAACAACCGTGGTTACACCGGTAACTCCAACAACGTTACAGGATCTGGCAAATTCTAATCTGATAGTCATGACGTCAGGTTGGGCTGTTGATGGTGACGATTTTTACAGCAATTTATTCTTCAACGCCAACCAAACTGTGTCCAAATTTGATCAGGATTTGGAAATTGTCACCAAGCTTAGGAAAATTATGAAAAGAGTTTTTCTTGTGAAGGAATTCCTTGAGTTGATAAATAATTTTACCAGCGGGGATGAGGTGAATGGTTTTCCTGTAAAATCTGAACTTCAGTGGGGAGATTCTGTCGCATTTATGGATGTTTCTTGGCGAGTAAGAGAGATTGCAAAGTTGGTGGATGATACAAAAACTCATGTCACGATTGTGGGGAGGGAGGAAAGCCCACTTTTCGACAAGCGAGTATGGATCATCTCAAGGAATTTTTTTGTCCAAGATTTCCTCACCGGTGTGAAAAGGTTGGAGCAAGGTGGACTGGTAGCAGTTTGGCAGGATCGGAAGGATTTGCTAATGGATAAAGAGCGATATTTGGATTGGTATCAAGACGATGAAAGTAAAGGACATATTTTTCGTAAGACTCTCGTACAAAGATGGTTCAATAGAAAAAAGAATGTTTTCGGGTTTTTAGATTCTTCAAAAGTTACTCAAGAATCGTTAAATTATTGTTATCTGTTCTGCCTTTGCTTGTTGTGCGGGGCGTTGATTATTTTTGTAGGGGAGATTTTGACTGTTGTAAAAAGCAAAATTGTTGTTGACTGTGGGCATCAGGGATGTGGGGTGCTTATTCAATTACGAACAGTCTACGATTGAGTATTTAATTGTTATTGAATATGTGTGTACATATATGAATTACTAATGTTAATGTAGTATCCTAATACAAAATGACAATTTGAATGTATCGGCTTAAATGATTAAATATATTTAGCTGTCATGATTGATTCCATTGTATTTTGTTATAATTTACTAAGTGTACAGGGTGGTTTAAATGTCACGTTACAATGGAAAATTTGTTAATGGGAGAAACCCTTAAATCTCCATTAATTATAAGATTTTGGATTGAGATTTTTATAATTATTGTCAAACAAAACTGATGAAACACTGATAACCAAATTTGGAAAATGTTGAATTTTTGAGACAAAACTTGGGTAATTAATGTAAATTTTCAACTTTTTCCCATCGACAAATTTTCCATTGTAGCGTGACATTTTAACCAGCCTGTATATTTGTTTACGTATTCAAAATAGTTGAAATACTGGGTAAACCGATAAATGGATAAGTAATGGATAAATTTATGTACACCATAGGAATATATTTCAGAGGTATTAGTTTTTATCTGTATGTATACATTAACTCAGATCCATCCACTCAGATATTGCTAGCGCGACCTCACTTATTTCTAATGCTTGACTTGACTTGAATGCTACAAGTTGGTATAACAACTCTGAAGGCACAAATGTTATGAATTGTGATAAAACAGTGATTGGTACAAAAATCGATATTTTTGTATATTATTTCTTTATTACTGGACAACTTGGTAAATTCAGTTCCACAAATACATTTAATTCTAACAAGGATGCTAACGCTATGCAGAGAACGTACATGGACAAAAAAATTAGACCGATCTTTTTATCCAAGCTGAATTTGTTTACTGCCAGCATTCCATACATTAGGAAGATGGAAACAATCAATATCATCACGGTGAATTTGAAGCCTCCAGAGTTTATCTGTATGTAGTTTTGGCCAGGGTCAGATGCGATAAGAGAGGCCCGGATTAGCCAAGGGAGGCCCAAACACATCAATACGTCAAAGGTGTTAGATCCAACAGAGTTCGAAATGCTCATCGTGCCTTCGCCTACATATTTTGTATGATAAAATATTATAAATAATCGCCTAAATATATATTTGCATATCAATCATCAAGTAGCGTTATGATTTGAATTTTTATGCGAGAGACAAATCGCCATGAAAGGTTTGATGGCACATTCAAATTTCTGCGTAGAAGCTTTTAGCTCCTCCGCAAAATTGGTTAATGGGCGGTGCCTATCGCTTAAAAATGCAGAACCTTCGAATTGACAAATTTTGAAGTACCCCGCTTTGCCACAGCCACCGAAGACACTGCTTCAGGCACCGACGTCCCAGCCGCAATGAAAGTGAGGCCCAAAACAGAATCTGGGATGCTGAGCGTGTACCCTATTCATAAAGTTTTGTACAGATCAGGTCACAAATTTTCCAGGTTTTACAAAAACACGTCATACCAATTATAGTGATCAGCCAGGACACGAGATACGACAAAACGCCAATCCATACCATACACATGGCAAAAGTCAACATATAAAATGACTTCCATTTCTCGTTCCTACAATCAGGAACGCTTATTGCAACCAGGAATCGAGCCGGCGAAGTTATCAACCACGCACAGAGTGTAAAGACAAATCCGTTTTCAGGAAGTGAAAAGAGTTTCCAATCATCTCCTAAAATATGTTTGCATTTCAAAATGATTAATAAACTTAGGAGCAATTAAAGGTTGACTTTTTTTGATTTCTGGATTTTAAGTTTTACCAGAATTTACAGCATAAATAAATAACTAACCATCAAAATTGGTCTCATTTTGGTATTCAGTTGTTGGAGGATTATTTTGGAATGCACCGCTTGCCGCGTCGCACTTGTCCAGCAATTTTTCAACCTTCGATTTTATCTCGGTGTTTTTGTACATTACTAAATTATCAGAATTACATGAGGGTAAATTAAGCATAAATAAGACTTCAATTTTGATATCAACCACCAATGACTTACTTAAAAGGTATCCAAGATATGTCAGAACAAGAAAGAGTGCCTCATACCAGTACACTCTTCCATCTTGAAGGAACACAACGAGCAAAATTACAGAAACCGTGTAGACAATGCAGTCTCGCGAGAGGGGATACCAATCTAATTGCAGTGCCTAATTTAATTTTTCATGATTTTAAATTTTCAGCCATGAATTTTGTTGCATTTTAATTTTTTCAGCCAAACCTTTCCCGCAACGATGCCCGATATCCCAGCGACCGCCAATATGTTAAAGACAGCACTTCCAACAATCGCACCCACTCCGATGTCCCCCTTAGTGATAAATGTCCCCACAAGGTTAACAAACAGTTCAGGGGATGAAGTTCCCACAGCCATTATTGAGGCTCCAGCAACATCTCGAGGTAAGTGGAGGCCTGGCAAATTATAACATTAAATACTGTACTCATCTTGTTCATTTAAGGATTTTTATTTAAATACCAACCTGTACACATGGATTCGATACACGGTACGAAATATTCGTCACAAACTAAGGCCAATGCATAAAAGATGTACAGGCTGGCCAACCCGTGAAGGACAACCCAGCCATGGCGTCTCTCATTTTGTGTGAAAACGTCATCAGGAAAGTCATCAATGCTCGGCGGTGTGCAATTTAGTGGAGGAGAAAGTCTCTCTGAATTTGTCAAAATTCCGTTTAAGGAAGTCCCATTCGCAATATTTGTTCCAGATACGACTGTAAGTATGTAGATACAATTGGATAAGTAGTAATTTCTCTAATTTTTTCTAATATATATATCACTTACAATAAGGGAAGCTTTCATTCCCCACATTTTTATGCATGGTAACATTGAAACCAGGAATTAGTTGCGGAGTAACTACAGAAAATGAGTATAATGCAGCCAAACTTGACCAGGCAAGAAGTTTGGTTACGACTTTGACGACACGTTTCTTATTTTGTGACTGAAGTGGAGAATTGGGCAGTGAGTTCATTATAAGAATAAAGTTTGTAAGTTTTGTACAGTACACATAGCACACAAATATTAAACTAGAAAAAACTCCAATGTATTTAAGTAAATAAGGTTTGGATTGTGGTAACGAGAGGTTAAATCGCCACGTAAACAAATACTTGCATATGCGTCTAACTTAACTGTAAAGTTTACAAATGTCAGAAAGGTAACGAAAACTTAGAGTAGCAGATGATGTAAAAATGAGTTGGGTTTATATTTTCATAGTGTAGACGACAGAACCAGTAATTCGGAGCGAATGGCTTAATAGGAGCACATGTATAATGTCAAAACCGCAAAAAGTGCTGCAGTTAATGCTGAATTGCTTTTAAATATGTCGATACATATGTCTAGCTTTTTTGCAGTTTACTTGTTTTTTTCACTGTTAGAATTTTTTAGAAGTTTTGTAAAAGTACGTTGGTTTGAATTTTAAGATTTTGAATTATGTTAGAATTTGCCATGTAAAAATAGATTGATGAGGAGTATTTTTGGTTGGACGAACACTGTACGAAAATTTAAAATGTGCAAACCATACGCCATAGACTACAATTTTAAGTACATGCATACCTACGTACACATACATACATTTTTCCACGAAGCATTAGCAATGAGGTGCATAAGGTCATTAGTAGAACAAAAAAACTATGGTAATTTCTCTAGTATAATGTTGAAATCAATTCCAGTGCTAATTATCGGCGTAAGCACAACTTACCTCTCTATATATATACATACGTACATATGTACACACAGTGGTCTTCCCCCAGCTTAACAACAAAATTTACTCGCACCACTGTAGATGTAATATACTGAAAAGTATTTTGTAAATACATATATACAGGATGTATTTCTGCACTGATTCATAAATTGCATACGTAATTTACGCATACCTAATAAGGCAGCATTATGTAACTTGCAGTGCAAATTTATGTACACGTGAAAAGTTGCGCAATTTTTAGTAGGATCATATCCATGATAATATTGGGGGCGCGTCCAGCTAGACTTTGTGCTGCAGACCAAAATGTGCGAATTAAATGCAAATTTTGAGATATTTAATTTTTGACCAATATTCGTCAAAATTTGGTTCTACCGAATAAGTTCTATATACACAAATTGTTTGTTGGTAATCCGTCAGGGTTAGGGTGACATAGATACGTATACATAAACCGGTAATTTGAAGATATAAATCTATCACATATGAAAACTTTGTTCGATTCTGTTTTGATTTAAGAAAGTTTAATAAATACAGCGTATTATTATGTATAATAGTATAAGTTTATGTGAAAATTGAGCATTTATGTATTTAAAGACTTTACCAAAAGATATTAATTTTAGCATGGTTAAATTGCTTAATTTTACACTCACTCAGCCATTGTGGGGTTGGTCACTTATTTCAGGTAAATTAGATATCTTATGCGCACAAGTTCGTATGAGAATTATCTATGAATCAAAGCGGGGAATTATATATTTATCTATGGATATTCATGCACAATTTCAGAACTGATTAGATTTAATGCGAACTTGAAATATGGTACGATCACACGAATGAGATGATAAATTTTGTTTTAAACTGTTTCAGCTCATTGTTCCATTTTGACTTCGCAAATCTAATAAATATAAAAATGAAAATGTATAAAAAAAACTTGGTGAAACACGGCAATTTTAAATACACTAGAATCTCTATATTTGTATACCTCCTCGAACTTCTTGATTTTGCAATCCAGGAAAGCCTTGTACCCAGCACACTTGTTGTCCAAGCTGAAGGACTTGCCTGTCGAATGAAAACAAAACTCGTAGGGTTTTCAAAATGTTACTACATAAAGTGACGGAGTATCAAACCACAAGCTTACTGTTGGCAGATGCACACTCATCGAAAGCCTTCTTCAGCGTGGGTTGAACTTCAGTATCGAAAACAGCCTTTACCAATTTTTCAGTCTCAGCTACATTGTAAGTCCCGTCATCATTAAGCTAAAAATTAGTTAGGGTTAAAAACACTAGCTCTTGCTTAACCTGGAACTTGTACGTAGTTTAGATAATTCGCATACCATCTTTTGCTTTTTCCAGATGCACACCTTCAAACACTGGAATAAAAATTGACCAATATTTGTTAAAAAGAGTTGCATACATAGACATTCATTTCTAGTTCGCAAATTCACAAAAAATTGGTTTGAAAATTGATTTGCGAACTTGCACATCTTATTTAGTTCCCAAAGCATTTTCATAAACTTTGTAACGGGAAAAGTCCATAAATCTGTATTACTTACAATGCGATGACGCCAGCGGTCTCGCTCCGATTTTGACGAAACGACGATAATTATGTAGCCTTAGATAAATAATTAGACACGTGTTTCAGGATTTTTCATAATGCTCAGCTTAAACGAAATTATGACGAAATCCGTGAGCGAGAATTCCCATTTTCACCGTGACATTTTTCTGGCAAGAGAGAAAAATACAGATTCTCCATTACGAAGTGCATCATAATTTCGTTTAAACTTAAAATTGGTGGGCACGAAGTGATTTTCTACGATTTTGGTTTGTTGCATTTTTGAAAATTTTCAAAATTTCAGAAATTTTCAGAAATTTTCAAAATTTTCAGAAATTTTCAAAAATTTTCAAAAATTTTCAAAATTTTCTGAAATCTTTGGAAATTTTCAAAAATTTTCAAAATTTCAAAATTTGTACAAGCAACATAAAATCGGAAAAAACACTTCATGCCCACGCAATTTAAGCTTAAACGAAATTATGATGGACTCCGTAATGGAGAATCTGTATTTTTCTCCCTTGCCAGAAAAATGTCACGGTGAAAATGGGAATTCTCGCTCACGGATTTCGTCATAATTTCGTTTAAGCTGAGCATTATGAAAAATCCTGAAACACGTGTCTAATTATTTATCTAAGGCTACATAATTATCGTCGTTTCGTCAAAATCGGAGCGAGACCGCTGGCGTCATCGCATTGTAAGTTACCAAAGTTTGGCCTTTTGAATTTTTGAAATTTCTTCTTTGGTAATTTTCAGATGCATAACATCTGTAACTCGTCGACATTTACGTATTTTTCCCATTGCTAAATTCTAGAAATTTGAACCATCATGTATACCAAATTTTCCGAACTTTGTCATTCCTGAAGTGTCTGCATTGGATTTATGTATGCTACATTTTTTTTATACCGATTGGTGTTCTTTGAAGTTCTTAAGCTTTTCTTCCTCGGTGGTGGTTGGGTTGGGCGTACTAGTTCCGAAGGTTTCTTGGTAACATTCCTTCTCACCCACGAACAATGGTTTCATATTTATGGCTTTTCCTTTGCAGGTCAAATTCATGTTCTTGACCTTTCCCACTTCCATTTTTCCGGCCTGTTGAAATGTACAAATTTACTTGGCTTGTAGTCTTTTTGAAATTTTTTAAAACAGATCACAAAATCCTTGGGGGTGTTCTTACCGATGTTACGGAAACAAGTACTACAAGCACCAATGATGAGGCGAATGCTAACTTGTACATTTTGACAGATTTTCGGTAAAGTTTTTAAAAAAATTGTTAATTTAATGGTTCGTGAAGTGAATCTGTGCAAAATTACAGGGGAAACATTCACTTAAATAGCAAACTGAATAACGTTTACCTTATTGAATAAGGTTAATAATTCTCTTTAGCAATTGTGTAAAAATTCAAAGCAAAACATAAAAATTCGTGATCATTTTCGAGATAGGCACATCCGGTTTATGTTTCATTTAATCAGCCGGATCAAAAAACGGGGCGTTTAATATGTTGCACGCAAATCATTGTAACGATTTCGAGTAATTCTGAACAATATACATACATACATACTAAAAATTAGTACTTACAAAATTACCTACGAGGGCCGTTCCATATTCAAGTGGCCTGCCTAGAAGGAGCAATAAATCTGGGGTATTTGTACTATGACTTTTCAATATAGTCCCCTGCGAGGTCATCACACTTGGTCCGCTAAATTTCCAATACTCTATCCCGGTTTTATCAATGGTCTTCAAAAAAGTCAAAACTGCTGATTTCACCTCATCTGTCGTTGAGTATTTTGAGTTGGAAAAATTCACGCAAGTAATTTATTGGTTCCTTTAATATATTTCGAAAACCGTGTTGGTTTATCTTTTCCCGGTTTCGAGCAATTTTTTTTAATTGTTCGTGAATGTGGGGGCACCATTTTACAATTTTAGTTAGCGTGCTGTATCGCGATCGTTTTTTTCTTAAGCATTTGCTCTTAGGATTACGTACGTGGCATATAATTTCACCTTGAACTTATTCTTGCGACATGCGATATATTGTCTAAACTGCAGTGATATGAATTATCTACATATATATATTCAGTGAAACTGCATGCATCACGTGCATATTTATATTTGTGAGTAATTTCATAAAAGAGAAAATTATATTTGCCTGATCTATGGGTGAATTTCAATAAACGGCTATTCTTCTAAATTAGAAGTTTATTAATGTCATGCAGCAAATTGTGGAACACAATTACATATGTACAAATAATACAATTTTATTTTTAAACTATGAAATGCATAATGCACACACTGGTATTGTGTCAGGTGTCACAGCCCAATTGTACGAGTTCAACTACATACATATGTCCGTCACTGGAAAATCCGTCAAGTATTAGTCACTCACAATTTGGTCAAACATCAACTAAATTGGGTTCTGAGATTATTAAAAAATACAATGATGGCATCAATGTTTGTGTGAGACACTCGGCCTAACATACAACATGTGACACTGGATGAGCTGTCCTGCAACACTTACACAAAGTTGGGACTGGATTTTTATTTATTTATTTATTTTAAAAACTTCTCACGCTTATTCTGTGTTTGGTTACCTTCATACTCGTAGGCTGGAGATTGGACTATAAATAAATTATACAAATGATATAAAAATGCATTGCGTAAATTTTTTACAGAGATTTTGAAGCAGCAGCTTTTCGTTGCGAAAATTATGATTGTTACTCCACCACGAAGAAAATGGCCGTAAACGACGGTTTTTTATTATTATAAATTTCATGCTGCACATTGGCCACGATATGTATAATAAAATCGGTTGGCCATGTGTTAGGTGATATTTATTTACACTGGTAATTTTCAGGTTAAAACCTTCCAAAAAAACTTTTCTCCTTCCTGTTCGGATTTATGAAAACTTAATAAATACCGTGTACTTAATTTTTTATGTAAAAAGTTTACATTGACTTAAACCACTTCGCCAAGTATAAATATTAATGCAGGTGTGGTCCAATTATATATTGAACTTTATAGATACAGCCATTGTTGGGTTGGTCAGTTACTTCAAGCAAGTTCGAAATTTTATGCAAAAAAATCACACATACGTATGCATACATAAGGATTATCATGAATGAATCAAAACGGGAAATTATATTTATGCCAAATATTAAATTTAATGAAGACTTGAAATATGACAAATCACAAGATTGAGAGGATTAATTGGGTTTTAAACTGCTTCGGCTCATTGACCCGTTTTAATTTCGCAAATCTAATCAAATTTAGAATGAAAAAATATATATAAACGAATCATGAAAATTTAAACTATAAAAGAATCTCCGTATTTACATACCTCCTCGAACTTTTTGATTTTACAATCGATGAAAGCCTTATATCCAGCACATTTATTGTCCAAGCTGAAGGGCTTGCCTGTTGAATGGAAATAAACTTGCATTATGTACAAATGTCACTAAACCCACAGATTATGCATCCAACGATAAGCTTACTGTTGGCAGTTGCACACTCATCGAAAGCCTTCTTCAGCGTAGGTTGGACTGCAGTATGGAAAACAGCTTTAATCAATTTTTCACTCTCGTCAGCATTGTAAGTGCCGTCAGCATTGAGCTAAAAAAATTAATTAGTGTTAAAATTACAAGAAAAATAATAGGACGGTGTGCATATCTTAACTTACCATCTTTTGCTTTTTCCACAAACACACCATAAAGCACTGCATTTAAAAAATTGACCCATATTAATAAGATTTAGTCGTGAAATATTATGTTTGCATGGATTTATTAAGCTTTGTTATACTGATTCGTCTTCTTTATATTTCTTGATCTTTTCTTCCTTAGTACTGGTTGAGTTAGGGGTACTAGTTCCATAGGTTTCTTGATAACATTCCTTCTTGCCCACCCACAATGGTTTCATATTCATGACTTCTCCCTTGCAGGTCAAATTCATTTGCTTACCCTTACACCCTTCCGTTTCTTCTGCCTGTCGAAACATGACAATGCCTTAAAGCGTTTTAATTTTTTAAATTGACTGTACAACACGAGGGGTTGTTCTTACCGACGTTGCGGAAATAAGTACCAGAAGTACCAAGGAAGAGGTCAACGCTAACTTGTACATTGTGATAGATTTTGGGAAAAAATTGTTACTTTGATGATTCGTGAAGTGAAAATGTACAAAATTACTGGAGAAATATTCACTTAAATAGCAAACTGAATAATGTCTAACTTGTTTAATAAGGTTAGTAATTCTCTTCATCAATTGTGTAAACAGTCAAAGCAAATAAAAAATTCGTGATCACATCCGGTTTATGGATCATTTAATCAGCTCCGATCAGAAAACGGGGTGTTTAATATTTTGCACGAAATTATTGTAACAATTTCGAGTTCTTCTGAATAAAGATGTAATATGCATACCAAAATTAATATTGAATTAAATACACTGTAGGTCATGTACATATACGTATGATAGCTTGCTGTTAGAGCTTATTCCAAAATTGGCAAAAATTGAATATACAATTTTAATGAGCGTGCTTTATCGTCATCGATTTATGATAAACGTTTGATCTTAATCGTTGCATATAATTTCAGCTTGAACTTATTCTTGTGACACGCGATATATTTAAGTCTAGACTGCAGTAATATCAATTATCTATATTCAGTGAAATTGTGCATTCATCACGTACTGAGATTTGTACATAGATTTAGAACAAAATCTATCTCGCCCGTTCAATGGGTGAATTGCAACAAATGGCTATTCTTCTAATCTTGAGTATTAATGTCATGCAATAAATTGATAAGCACAATTACAAATACAAATACTAATATTTTATTAAATGCATAATGCACACACTGGCTTTGTGCTCGGAGTCAAGGTCTACATAATTGTACGAGTTCAAACTGCATATGTCCGTCACTGGGCAGATATTTTAGTGATAGATTTGAAGTATCAATCTACTAGAAAAACTTGTTTTAATTTTTGAAAGTTGCATAAATAAACGGTGTAGTGTATTTATTTTTCAGAAAACGTTGCACTTAACGTGCAAAATAACTATGTAGGTATAATATGCATATACGATAGTAAAACTTTCATCTCGATTCCTCCCAAAATTGTTACGAGCTATCAGGAGGTATAAGCCTTTTACAAAGTTCATACTTTTGTAGGTATTGAATTAATTCTAGCAGCGTGTCACAAATGAGAGCTCCCTATAACGCACACAAAATATTTCAAATTATTCAAGTTCAAAAACTGCATTGACATTAGTATGTAATTGAGATCAATCACAGCAAAATAAATATAACTAAGTGCATACATACCACCGAAAATATACCAATCGTTGCACCAAAGGAAAGTATGAAATGCAACAACTCGAACTGATTCCCATCTCCAGATACCAGAATGGTGATCTTAAGACCGAAAACTTTTGTCAATGTGCGACGATTCTCTTCATGATAGTCGGCAATCCTGGTAAAATTAGGGTTAAAAACAATTAGCTTCGTTTTATATCGTTTGGCGTATTCATGTATTCATGTGTGTATGTATGTTTCGCACAATGATCAAGTGCATGCGATATACATAATCTTGCGACAAAAGCATGATGATCTGCTATAGGTAAATCTTAAAATACAAATCGCATGGTAATTCAAAAAAAGTTTGCAGAAACTTGAAAATTTATGTAAATTGTCAAGTTATGCAAAAAAAAACTTTTTGCAAACTTTTGCGTATCAAGATCATTTTGGGACGTTAAATTCGCTAATTATGCATGTTAAATATTATAGGTTATTGTGGACTGTGTTTACTGGTACATAAGTATGTACACTTATGTGCATAATGAATAAAAGAATGATGTACATGCTTACATCCATGTACATACAAATATAAAAAAAACTTATGTGCACATAATTGCACATACATGTACCCAACATTTACTTTCAATCGAACTTGTTACCTGAAATTCAATCCAGGAGATAAAACGGCCTTAGAGTCATCAATCTTTTGAAATTTATAGGTCGGAAAGCAGTTACTCATACCCCAATCGAAATCACAGTTCCAAATTGATTCTATCCTGAAAACTCCGCCCTACATGGTATTAAAAATTTCGTCAAATTAGATTCTTTTAGAAAAACAAATAATTTGACTCCTTACAGTGATGGCGACTTGGGAAAAATTCTCTCCACTCCATTTCACAATGTCTCCAATTCGAAATATGGGACAACTTGTGTCATTTTCGGGATTATACTGACACCCAGATAAATATGAGGTGGTCGCATTTTCCAAAATATTTCGAAACTTTTTTTCATTACAAGCTGGAAATTGAACGGAGAGTTTTAACATGACGGTGTAATTCTGAATTCCTTCCAGGAGGGGTCGTTCGTCAGCACTAGAAAATATTTAATGGACACAAAGAAACATTAGTCACAGATATGGAAAATATAATGAGGCAATTCACACGAAGTCATTGGTAGCTTCGTAAAATCAGTAAATTTTGTAAAATAATTTTACAACCTGTTGCAAAATAAAAAGTCGCCCTTAACCTTAGTAAATTTGAAAAAAATTATATGCTAATTTCCCTTCGAGATATTTGTAAAATTTTTCCAGAAGTTACAGAATTCCGGCTTTCCCCATGTTTCCAAAGTCTGCGTGAATTGCCTCGATAATTTACATGATTGTTCTTACAGTGGTAATTTATTTTCCTCCAAAGGACACCATGCGGAAAGTTGGCATCTCCCAGCAATGCATTTTCCTGTTAAGGCACCACTATTGGTCCCAGGAATTGTTTCGCCTGCTTTACAATCGTATCTGGATTTACATTTAACGGTCGCGTTCGTCTGAAAATGCGGAGGAATATTATAATTAAAATGTGGTGGAAATATTTATTTATTATCCCAAGTTGTATATGGTGAGGATTGTAAATATGAGAACTTTGCAAACTTTCACATAAAGCAACATGCGTTATCCTTAGCAATTTATAATAGATATTTGATCTGATTTTCGTATTCAAATGCTTAATTAATTTCCGGACGCTTCTATGTGAGTGAATTATTTATGTACTTTGAAATTAAGCTAAACCTTGAGTTCATTCATAATTACGATTTTCATATCAAATTATAAATTATAATTATTTATAATTATAGCTAAAATAATTATTATATAGCTTGAAAAAGTTAAACGTGAAGGAAAGTTAAAAATGCTTGATCAAAAGATCATATTTGATAGACATGGCATGCATTTTATAGCTGTGCGAGCATAACTCGTTGTTTCCTACTGGAAATTTGCATGGGTTTTAGATTTTGCTAAAAAAAATTAACTAGTAAATACGTACGAACCTCCACACAAAACCCTCTCGTCTGATTTGGCGTAATTATCAAATTCGTGACTGCAATGAATCCACCGTCTTGCGCATTATTACCCAATATTAGATCCGAATTGTCCCAAACTCTGCGATACAGATAGGAATTTTCAACTTGGAAATCCGACCCCTTCAAGCCTTCCGTGCTCAAGTATCCCTTCACTTTTGTCGAGGCGGCACCCTGCACTGGGCATGATTTTTGATACACGGGTCGCAAATCCAAATTTATGCTAAAGCGCAAAAATTTAGCCGAATTAAGTAAAAAAAAATATTCATGCGCGAATTAGTAAAATCTCACCTCCCCAAAAATGCAATCCACGTAACGGCAATAATTACCAGGTAGGATATCGCAAGAAATCGACTTTGTACCTTTTTCCGTGCTGGTGCTGTGTAAAATTTGAACATACTTTTTAAAAAGCGACCCATTGCGAAAGCAGGGTGTTAAAGACAGCTTGAATACTTGCTTGCAGGATTTGGTTAGAAATAAGATGGATACAAAGCAGTAAAGTAACATATATTTGTTACATACTTTTACCTATTTTTACCTATGAAATGATCCTGTGTAGGTTTGGGGTCCACCGAGAAAGCAGTTGTATAGGTACAGATACATACTGGTTATAGATGCATGCAAGTCTTCACTCACTGGCGTTGTTTATTTGTTTAAGAAACGAGATCATTTCTCCCAAATTTTGCATCTGGTTTAACTGTATACTCAACATATTTTCCATGTTGAATCCTAATTGAGGCATTGGTACTATGGCAACCCATGCACGTATGTACACAGACATAGATACAATAGTGCATCATGCTACATACATATTGCAGTTGTGTGCAAGGCCGACGATAAAAGTTTGTAAGAATGTTTTCACTATTTTTCAGCTATTTTTAAATTCTTAAGACACATTATTTTCTAACAAACGCTACATATGCGTACATATATGTTATATGTACGTATTTATAAGAACAAATATGCGTATGTACGCAAGTTCCAGCTTAGGATGCTTAGTCGAAACTACTACACAACTTTATACAGAATGATGATGAACATATTCGTCAACTATTTAAAATGAAGAATAACACCTATTATAAAACACTAGCGGATAAGCCCCGTCTCTCGCCGGGCGGTAACGGAAGCGAAAGCAAAGTCACGTTTCGAAGCTTGCGAAAATTCAAAATAAATTAAATTCAAAAAATTAAATTTCTGAGCTCCCATCACCCCAGGGTGACCACCCAAGATAATCACCAGGATTACTACCATCAGACAACCAATCCCAGATAACCACAATCCGAAATTTAGCTTTTTGAATTTGTTTTACTTTTAATTTCTCCCCATTCGAAGCTTGACTTTCTTTACTTTCACTTCCGTTGCGGAACATTTGATTTTACTTCCGTTGCCGACAGACATTTCCAGCTTATAATATAGATAACAGACTTGCGTGCCCAATTACTTATCAACAAAATTATTAGCACGTGTTACTAATACATAATTGCATATATTTGATTTATCATTCATTTCATGAAGGGGCTAAACTCAAGGTCTCTGCACTTGGGGGGTTGCTTTGGAGATGAATTCGAAGCTACAACAGGTTGTGTCAGTTTATTTGATTTTTAAAAAAAATTTAAAAAATCTGGAGTTGGAGAATTCGCAAAATTTACGCTGGATTTTTTTACGTTGTCAAGAGTTACAAATTAAAAATCGAGCGTAAATTTTGCGAATTCTCCAACTCCGGATTTTTTAAATTTTTTAAAAAATCGAATAAACTGACACAACCTGTTGTAGCTTCGAATTCATCTCCAAAGCAACCCCCCAAGTGCAGAGACCTTGGGCTAAACTACTTGCAAAGTGTTGATCTCTTCACAATTCGAACCATGTTCAAATTTATGTTCAATTTGTTTAATATTTGATTATTTCAGTGAGCCAGTCATATAAGTGGGTGCTGAGGAATTCGAAACATTGACGTGTGAATGGACGTTAACTAAATTCAAGTGGGCTCGTTACCTGGAAAAGTGGAACAATTTTCGCGTTGTAAATCCCATTCAGACAAACATTTTAAAAGATATGCAAATATGTACTTCCAGAGCCGGACAAGAATTCTACAGAAACTCGCGCAAAATTTTATAAAAATGCACTTACAACTTATATATGGAAATACATGTATATATGTGTGCAAGTATGTAAATACATAGAAATACATATATTTGAAGTCATACCTGAATTAACCCAGTCAAAGTGTTTTAAAGTATGAGAATAGTAAGGAGAATACTGTGTCTCACATCTGGGAAGGTTACGATAGGATTACGACGGCAGTCAAGCTAAGAATATAAATATGTACATAGATACGATATCTTACTAGCCTGTGACGAGTTGTGTGGGAAATTTACAGACTTAACTAAGTAAATAATAAAACTTTATTAACATACTCTTCGTGGGGTTTAATGTATAGCAAACTTATGTACATAGCTCGGGTAAAGATTTATTGAAGTTTGGTCATTAGCACTATGCAAATATGTAAACTTATTTAACGGATAACTTGTGATCCAGTAAATGCATTCAGGGAGAATGCTTAACTCGATAAGCAGTTGGGATCTGCATACATATAAATACATACAATAATCGTATTGCATTACCTGTTTGGCATATATATTGTCCTACAATCCATAACATTATTATTGGTAAACTGTGAGATAATTTGTGCAGACAAACAATTACGCAACTTTGCCCATGTGAACTTGAACTTCAAGTTAAAAGCTATAAGGAAATGGTTTCTTATGCATTATTAGAGTTTGTGTCAAGGAAAGATTCAGATTCTAATAAAAACTAAAAACCTTCAGAATAGGATAATTAGTAAGTTGTTTGGCTCGGTTATGAAGTTATTCAAGAATTAACAATTAAATACAGCTTTAAAAGCTATAAAAACAAGAAAGTTACAAAATAATTACGATTATGAGGCCCACCCTCCTCCCACTACAAGTCTTACTTTCCATTTTCGCTCCCACTTTAAGACAGAGATTTGAGGAGAATGCAATCTGGGAGAAAGAATACCCCGAAATAAGTCGGGCTATTTCACCCAATGACAGACGCGAGTGTCATCAGCAATTCAAGGATCTCAAGGACCCTCAATTACACTGGGATCTGATTGGTTTAACTATTGTAAAGTGGTCAAAATAATTATAACTTGGTGGACATTTACGTATTAAATAATTAAGTGCACTAATTTTTCCCAGGACCAGCGCCTCATTCGGTTAGGATATCCGGTCGAACGGATAAACGTGACGACAGAGGATGGCTACATTTTGGGCCTTTATCGAATCCCTTTTAGCCCGAAATCTCCGATTGTGGAAGGTATTGTCAAAAAAGCAGTCATACTGTATCATGGTCTTATGGCGAATGGTTTAAGCTTTTTGTTGCAAGATGGGTCAAGAAATTTGGGTATGAATTATAATTACCGATTATTTATGCGTCATTAAAAGGTTAGAATATGCAAATGACGAATGATTGATAATTATGTAGCGATGCTATTGGCGGATTCAGGTTTCGACGTGTATATTGCCAATGCTCGAGGTAATAGCTATTCCGAAGGCCATGTAAACCCAGATATGACACTGGATAATTGGGAATATTGGGATTTTAGGTAACTATTAAGTTTAATACTCGGCCTTTTTTAAAGACACAGTTAAATATTTATCCACCCTTAGTTTCCACGAGGTGGGAATATTCGATCTTCCCGCCATTATTGAAACCGTTACGGACATCACGAAGCAGGAGTCCATGTACTACGTTGGTCACAGCATGGGTTCCACCACGCTGGCCGTTCTGCTATCCGAGCGACCAGAATACAATCGACGCATCGCGACCGCATTTCTACTCGCTCCAGCCATATTTTTAGGTCACAGTTGGTTATATGCTCAACCGTTCATCAAATCGGTGAATTATTATCAGGTGAGAGTAGGATTGTCATTTTTATCGACATTGTCTCATACGATCGGATCGCTGCGAATGTAGGTTGTAGAGGATTTCACAGAATTGTTTGCATTTGAAATATGTATGTACATATAGCTCAAAAATGTAACTTCTAAATGTAACTTGTAAAAATGTAATGGTGTTAGTTTAGGCTGGCTTACAAACGTACAGTTGAATAATTCGTATTCCATTGAATTACCATGAAATTATTGAATTGAATTACATTTCACATTATAATTTATTTGGAGGGTACTTCCCATTTAATTGGAGAGGCTTTAAATGCATGTCATTCCTAAAGCAGCAAATTAATCAACAACTTATGCTAAATATATTTTCCAGTACACCTTCAATAATTTTTTCGCTGGTCGTCTAGAGGGTGAAATATTACCGGAGTTACTTGTCGGATCAGTACCAGCGACTCGTTGTTCCATTGAAGAATATGCATGTGGTACGGAACACATTCGATAATTATTTACCAAGACATACAAATTTAAGCCAAAACTTTAATATTTCACAGGAATTTGTTCCAATCTGTTCTTCCGCCAATTCGGATATGACGGTCCTCAAATAAATTACGTAATTTAATTAGAATACTCATTAACAATAAAAATTTTGATTTCTACAAAGATACTACCATTTCTGGGATGATTTAAATATTTATGGATTGCAGACCAAGATTGGTCAGTTTCTTGAAGTTTATCCGGTCACTTCATCGAGCAAGGCGATGCTGCACTTTTTCCAACTGATTAAAACCAATAAATTTTGTCAATATGACGACGGATTTAACGAGCCACGGTATTCTCAAAGAAGTCCATCTTGTTACAACCTGGAAAATATTTTTAGTCCATTGCTCATATTTTGGGGCTCAAATGATAGCACAGTGAAACCACAGGTAAAACGCCTCATATGTATATATGAATAATGAAATAGATATTTATGCATTAGTTATAAGACGTCAATAATTATATTTTAATAAGTATATTTTAATTTTATGCATAAGCAAGCAATTTTTTTTCAGGATGTTGCAAAAACGGTGTCTCATATACCCAAGACAGCTTTAAAGGAGAATATCAAGGTGGATTCGAAGTACTTCATCCACATGGATTTTGTATTTGCGAAGGATGCAGATATTTTGGTATACAAAAGAATAGTGGATGTAATGCTAAACGCGACGTATGGCTGATGATAAGTTTCCCTATTTTTCTAATAAATATGACACGTGTTAGAATACCGTGACATACATATGTCGTTGAAAGTGCATTGTGATTTATGTATTATATTTATGGGAGTTGTGCCTACACCTTAATCATCAGATTTTCTTTGCTACATAATTTACCCATAATACCTTTTGTAAAGGGCTGGTTAAATTAACATGTACAAAGTCGACAATTCTAAATATGTGTCAACAATTGGATTATGTATCTGTAACTGCATTAATATTCAATGCATGCTTATTTTTGTAATAAGAACCAAATTTAGGCAGAATTGTATTAAGTAGTTTAACTTACAAAAATTATTATTTGTCAACCACAGAAAAGCTAAAATCGCTTAAAACTGAATACAGTGAAGAAAAATGTGTGCATAATTAACAGTCATGAGAACAAACTGTTCCTGACCAACTGGACTGAATCCCAAAATGGGATGGGATCAGGATAATGTATTTTGCTATACCACTACCAGATAATTAATGGTAAGGTTTTCCATACCAGGAAGAAGTAAACGATGTTCAAAAGCGAATCAGTTCAATTTATAAAATTAGTTCCAATTTTTACGTAATTCGCCATATCGTCGCCGTTCGTGCAAAACGTTACCTAACATAACCTTGATAACTTGATAGACGATGCCTACATACATACTATACTTAGAAACCATGATTTCAGCTTAAAATGCAATATCAAATGCGCGAATTATTTACGAAGTTTTGATTACTATGCAAAAAGATGCTTTTTAAGTGTGAAAGTTTCATGAAAGTTAGTAAGTCAATTTTCCTTAGATATTTATGTGCATAAAAGTTCGTAAGTTTACAAACCATACGACGATTACGCTGTTACGAAGGTTACAAGCGTTACTTAGTTTCCTTGCTACTTTTCAAGGGAGCATAAAAACTTCACCAACCTCAATAAGTTTTCCATTTATGCTTTGCATCTAACAAATATTACCACATACAAGTAATTGCACTCCAGAATCAGTTCAAATGAATTATTTTAAATAATCACGTATCAATTATGCAGAGAGAACACACATTTGTAAATTTGATTTATTGACAAGCTTTTTTAAAAATTTAAATCCTTTCGAAATATTTTTAAAAATCGAGTTAACATTTTATCTTATACATACAACATATGAAGCTAATACTGAAATTTGCCGGATTTGGGATATTTGAATACATTGATGATAACTTAATTCAGGAAATCTACCCTTGAATTTTACGTACATACGTAAACTTCAGCAGTAAATCCTTCAAAAAACTTGACAGAATGTCGAGGCTAATTTCAGTGAGCTGCAAAAATTTCTTATGAGAACAACGAATTTCCTCCAACTAATTTCCACCAAGTTGAAACATATACTAATTAAATTAATTTTTTATAATTTAACTGTGACTAAGTAACATTTACTGACAATTAATTCCCATTTTTCACTTGTCAAAGGAATGTATTGTTTAGATTTGTATCCGATATCTTTGTATTCTTGCCTGATGAAAATGACAGTAGTTCATTGAAAGCTAGCAATTTTCAACAATAAAATCAAGAAATAATCCCCGAAAACCGCAGAAATGAGTGATCATATACTAATTAACCCAAGGTATTGAATACCATGTCTGGTAGACTGGAAAGGTTACTCTAGCGTATCTGCTAGCGAATAGGTGAGGTGACGAGTGGTGTGAGAAGGATAACGACATTATTATAGAATTATGGGAAATAGGATTTAATGCATCTAATGCATATGTATGTAAGTACAAATATATTTTCATATGCTGAGTAAAGCTTAACTGGATTACATAGGTCACTCACTATTAAATTTGTAAGTTATACATTAAATGCATGCAATGAGAATGCTTAACTCGAACTCCTTCATATGTATGTACATGAGCACATGTATACCTTGATTCCAGGTATGTATTGCATAAGCAATGGTTATGCATGCATATCTGTATGGCCACACAATACATGAAATGAATATGGATAAGCTGTGGGATAATTCGCATAGACAAACAATTACGCAGCTTTGACCATGTGAACTTGAACTTCAAGTTGGAAGCTATAAGGAAATCATTTCATATGAATCATTGGAGTTTTTGTCAAGGAAAGAGGCACATTGTAATAACAAACTAAAAACTATCGGAATTGTGCAATAAGTAAATCGCTTAAGCTTGGTTATGAACTTATTCAAGAGTTAATAGATAATTTAAAATAGTTTAAAAAATAATTTATTTTGCAAAAAATTACTAAAATAATTGTGCCATTATGAAGTCGACCCTTCTCCCACTGCAAGTCCTACTTTCCCTTTTCTCCCCCTCGTTAAGACAGAGATTTGAGGACAGTGCAACCTGGGATAAAGAATATCCGGAAATAAGATGGGCCCTGTCAAACCATGACAGACGCGAGTGTCACCAGCAATTCAAAGATCTCAAGGACCCTCAATTGCACTGGGATCTGATTGGTTTAACTATTGTAAATTTGTGGAAAAGTGTATAATTCTGGTCGACATTTATTAAATAAATGCACTAACTTTTTGCCAGGACGAACGCCTTACTCGGTTAGGATATCCAGTCGAACGGATCAACGTGACTACAGAGGATGGCTACATTTTGGGAATTTATCGAATCCCATTTAGCCCGAAATCTCCTTTGGTGGAGGGTGTGGTCAAAAAATCAGTCGTACTGGGACATGGTCTCTTAGCGAATGGTTTAAGCTACTTGCAGCAGGGTGACTCAAGAAATTTGGGTATGAACTATACCGACTAAATATGTATTGATCATGTAAAGATTCACGTAAATTACTAAAATATTAATAATTATGTAGCAATGATATTAGCGGATTCAGGTTTTGACGTGTATATTGTAAATTTTCGGGGAAATAGCTATTCTCAAGGGCATATTAACCCAGATATGACACTGGATAATTGGAAATATTGGGATTTTAGGTAAAAAATCATTAGTGCCGAGAACCATATCAGTTTTATTATCTACGTATAATCCCAGTCTTTCACATGTAAAACTCGTGCCTCCCGTTCAAACTAGCTCACTATGAAGAATACAAAAATACGGTCATGCATATGTTTTGTGGGATCAAAATAAAATTGCTCCCATGCAAATCTGGGTTTTACATGTAAAAGACCTGCATTTTTAACCATTTTAAGACTGTTTTAAAAATATAATTATCCACCTCAAGCTTCCACGAGATGGGAATATTCGATCTTCCCGCCATTATTGAAACCGTTACGGACATCACGAAGCAGGAGTCCATGTATTACGTGGGTCACAGCATGGCTTCCACCGCACTCACGGTCATGCTATCCGAGCGACCAGAGTACAATCGACGCATCGCGACCGCATTTCTACTCGCTCCCGCCATATTCTTAGGCCACATGGGATTATATGCTCAACCTTTCGCCAAATCCGTGAATTATTATCAGGTGAGAGCATATGTACTTCTGATAATTTATCCATAAATTTATAAACTAACCAGATCTGCAGATTTAAATAGAAAGTAGCCGGTTACATTTTCAAAGAATCGTCGAAATTTAATTAAGCAAACCTGAAATTAAAAAAAACTGTTTCAACATTTAATTTGACCCTTGATTATTTAAATTACTTATAATTAAAGGTCCTCATGATTTTTGAGAACGAATTTAGTTTTACAAAATCAAGGGTATTACTGACCAAATGAGCTTGTCGCTTGTCGCATCCGGAGGGTTATAAATACATACGTGAATTAATTATCATTAAGATTGGGCAATTGTTCAATTTGTGCGTTTAAAGTGGGTGCACGTCAAGTTTGATATCTAACAAGGGACACTCACGACCTGTCGTTTGAGTCCAGAGTACCCACTATGTTTTTTAGAATCTACTAGGACCTCTCATATTTCCGTGTAAAACTCATATTTGGCGTCGTTCCGTGGCGCCAAATTCGCCAAATTTGAATGTTTTTATTTTTGAAACCGCCATAACTTTTGAAATCCTGGACAGATTTTGAAAATTTTTGGCAAAAATCATGACAAGGAGTTCAACTTTCTTATCCCATGAAATTTTTTCCAAAATTATCGCTTTTAACTTTTCGCAAAATTTCGTAATTTTCATAGAAATGGGGGTTCGTCGAAAAAATGTTAAAAATATTTCAAAAATTGAAAATTTGTTATTTTTATTTTTTTTTCTCAAAAATGTCGGCTTTTGTGATCATTTTAAGCATAAAATTTTGAAAATCCGACATAAACTGCAAAAGTTATGGGGGTTTGAAATTGGTCGAAAATGCAAATTTTTAAGTTTGGCGCCACGCCATGGCGCCAAATATGAGTTTTACACGGAAATAAGAATGAATCCTTCATCTGGGGTCCTAGTAGATTCTAAAAAGCATAGTGGGTACTCTGGACTCAAACGACAGGTCGTGAGTGTCCCTTGTAAGTAGGTCTTTTTTTGTGAGTTTTAACAGGTGACTGATTGATTGATTGATAGTCATTTATTCACATGTTATTCCTTGATCAGTACAATTTAATGACTGGTTTACATCAAGTAACACAAAGCTCAACTACATACCATGATCTTATAAATCTATTAGGTATTAATAACCTAGTCTAACGTTTACTTATAAATTAATCGTAATTACTCTTACGCTTTTTCATAACAAACTCGGTGATACGACTTCGCACATTTCCCGATACATGTATATTAGCATCCAAAATTTCTTGTATCATTACCGTGTCTAAAGTATTCCATATTAAAGTTGAGTAATAAGTTATTACTAATAACGCACTGAATTGGTAAACATGACCGATAACGACTCACATGTGAGTAACCTCGTGATGTCAACTACGTATGTATATAAATAAATATGTACATACGTGCATGCACCATAAAACATATAAACTAAGCAAATTATATTTTACAGTACACCCTCAACAATCTTTTCGCTGGTCGAATGGACGGTGACAGAATAGCAGAGGTCCTGGTCGGGTCATTTCCACCGAATCGTTGTTCCACCGAGAAATTTGCATGTGGTATGGAAGACAAAGACGTGCTTACGTGCATATGGACACATTCAATGAGTACACTCTAAGTAAAGTTGTGTAAAAGAATTTACATCAGGTTCAGTAAAACAGAGAATGACACAACGATTGGGTAATATTTATCCAATGTCATTGGCAGCGGAAGTATTGGGACAGGGAGACATTTTCCCCCCAGAAATTCAGCTAAATCGTATCCAGCCCATGGTAATATGTACATACATCAGTTACTCCTCTTCCTATCCAATAACTCTTATGTCCCCCAAACTGCCGCCGCCATTGTCCATATCAAATTTTTCACGTCGTTCGAAAAATTTTACCCAATTGTTGTCTCATCCTGTATTTTACTCAACCTTGAGTAAATAAATTTCACAAAACATTACTTAGAGTGTATTCACTCTAATCCTAAGTAAAATGCTTTAAATTTGTATATGTGATTTTATATACATATCAAATTACATGTGTGAATTTCAATATTTCACAGGAATTTGTTCAAACATGTTCTATCTCTTTTTCGGATATGACGCTCCTCAAACAAATTACGTAATTAGAATACTCATTACCAATTAAAATTATCATTTCGACAAAAATACTACCGTTTCTGGGATGAATTACTTAAATATGTATGGCTTACAGACCACGATTGGTCAGTTTTTTGAAACCTATCCCGTCACTGGATCGACCAAGACGTTGATTCACTTTTTGCAAATGGTTAAAACCAATACATTTTGTCAATTTAACTATGGCTTTAACGCAATTAACGAGTTACGATATGGCCAAAGAAGTCCGCCTTGTTACAACATGGACAATATTTCTGTTCCATTACTCGTATTTTGGGGTCCAAATGATAGCAACGTGAAACCCCAGGTACACAAATACATCTCATGATATGTACATAGATTTAAATTTTATATGTCAATGAAAGAGAACGAATGTTTTTCAGGATATTGCAAAAACTGTGTCTCAAATACCAAAGGGCGCTTTAAAGGAGAACATCAAGGTGAATTCGACGTACTTCACCCATATAGATTTTGTATTTGCGAAAGATGCAGATATTTTAATATATAAAAGAATAGTGGATGTAATGTTAAACGCGACATATGGATGATGATAAGTTTGATTATTTGTTTAATAAATGTTACAGCGTGCGTACGAGAATATCGTCATTGAAGGTTCATTTTGGTTTATCAGTATGTATCTCATTTTTCTGCAGTTGTAGCTACACCTAAATCACCAGATTGTTCGAAACAAATTTATAAATAATATTACAACATTATGTTGCCAACATATTTGTTGGTGATTCCAGTGGGTATCCTAGGATCGGTACGGCCTGTGGAATTTTTAAAAGTACGGCCGGTGTGTTGAAATTTTTACTTCGACGTAATCCACTAATTTTTTAACTTTAAAACTTCGTGCACAAATTTAAATATATATGCATTATGTGCAGACCAATGGAGATATTTATTGTGACGCGCAGGTCATAACTTATCTACAATGAGGAGGTGTGAGGTGGTTATCGTCAATTTTACCTATAATCGGTAAATTATTCACTCCTAGAAATAAGCGGACACGTATTTTTCGTTTTCGCCGGTTGCAGAATTTAAAACATTACCAATTCATCATTTTTCAAAACGCTGTCACGTTTCTAATTTTAACCCGATTTCATAAACAAACCAAAATTTTTGCTTAGACTTTCTTCCTGGAAATTACATATAAAAATTCATTAAAAAAAAAACTTTTAATGTTCAAAAAATTATCCCATTTTGAATTGAAAAAACTATGAAATTTAACCGAATTTTAAAAATTAATTTTTATAACTTCATGAACCTAATTCTGTAATAAAATTTTGTTTAATTAATGATATTGGGTTAAAATTAGAGGTAACAACTTTTTAAGAATTTATGATTTGGGCATAAGTTTTTTTTAAGTCCGCCAAGGGTAAAAAATGCGCATTCTTGAAAACTCAAAAATACGGATCCGCTTGTTTCTGTGCGTGAAAAACGTAAAATTAGACCCTTCAAAATCGGCGATAAGCACACTATACCTCTTCATTGTTAGAGTGATTTTTCCGAAGAAATTTAATCCGTCAAGAGAACTTAATGTAAACTTAACAAGTTTTTTAACTTTAATATTTCTAATTGAATGTGAACTGTGTTTAAAGAAATTATCTATCACATGACTTGACAGCACACGATTACTCGATGAAAACGGACTATATTTTCCTACATTTAGGATAGGTTTCAAGTCTAAAGTCGCTTCTGCCATGGAAATTCTGAAGCTGAAATTTAGGTGTATTTGCGGTTAGGCAATTTCGGTATACAAATTTGTATTTTTTAATGCCGTATTGTTAAAAACACTAAATAAAAATAAGTACAATTTACTTAAAGTTGAGAAAAAATGAGAATGGCACAACCGAAAGGTAAAATTTGTCCAAACAGGACAAATCTTGTTTGGGTAAGTTCAAAATTGCATAAAATTTGTTAAAAAATGTGTCCTACGGGTAGCTAAATTTGGAACACTGTTGAATGAATTTTGCTCATGGGTTGTGTCATCCACTTTTTTTTACTCACCCATGAGTAAATTTTAATTATTTTTATTTAGCGTGCATTATCTGGTCACGGTGCTATCGTGACCGGGTCCTGGTACGGCCGGTCCCACGGTCCGGCCTGTGGACACATCCACACTCACCCTTATGGACGGATACCCTCTGGGTGATTCCACTAAAATCTGTGATTATTGATCTATTACGTAAACAATAACCGGTTTTATTATATTTTCACACGGTTTTGAGTTCCTAGTTAACACTTATTTTTCATTGTTATTATTTACGTGCAACTAGTATGTTAACTACACACATATGTATAAATCTTGGCTTATGCGTAAGAGCATATTTGATAAAGTTTACTTCAATATTTTAAGGTATTCTGCATCAGACTATAATTCTAGCCCGGGCTACCGCCTATCTCGTAATGCAAGTAGCCCGGGCCAGAGATAGGGGAGCCCGGGCTAGAATTATAGTCTGTTCTGCATAATACATACATACATGTGTAAACGCTCAATTGGCTATAAATACAAAAACCAATACACTCTAATGATTAGAGTGTATTGGTTTTTGATTGGAGTCTAATCCATCAAGCTTAACATATTTATGTACGTAGGAAATGTCACCTAAAACGTAACAAGAATTCATCACCTAATAATCCCGTAAACCAGTTAAAATTTGCTACCCGTCAATTCTAATTCGTCAAATTGGGCAACTTTAATTCATTACACGTGTAAACACTGCCATCGTTATTAATCCATTAAACCTGCCATACATAAATATATATGCATTTATGAATAGGACACTGCATTGGCATTATGATAATTTCAAAATGGGCTGGAAATATAATTAATTCCTGTGATATTGAGTGTTTCCGTATTTATTATAACAAACGTAAAGAGTTATACCCGAAAATGAAGAGTAACATATTAATTCACAATATCCCATTAAAATCCGATATTTCCGGAGGAATTATATTTCTTGAGACATTCTTTAACATCGGCTACTACTTGGGTCTTGTCCCTTTCAAATTCCGGAAGCGATTGATCGGAACACCTTCCTACCCTCATTTAAAATCGTATCTGATATATCTGCATGAGAGAAAGTATCAAAAGGTACACAAATATTCAGGGAAATCACTCAGTCCTTGGTAACTTTTTTGAAATCCATAAATTCTGTAAACTTACAAACTTTTAGATACAAATATTTTGAAACAAAATTAGTTTACGAATTTTTATGAATTTATTCAGATCAACGATGTCTTTTTATTGTGTAAAAGTTTGTAAAATTATTTTGCAAAATTTACGAATTTCACAAGTTATCAATTATTGCGTGAATTGCATGAGTTCAAAAATTCAATTGATTGGTACTTTTTAATAGGTACTTTGCGCTACAGTCCATTTTCTTGTGATGCTGCAATATTTCTCAGAAACTCGACAAGCTCCCCTGACACCAATTTGGATGGGCTTAACATCCAATCCTACCCTGTATTTTAGACTCTTTTCGGAAATAATGTTACACACGTACAAGCTAACGACAATTCTATCGCTATGGCTTTGTAAACGGAGATACCTTAATTGCCTCCAGTATATGGTGGATAACAGATATTACCCCGTTTTCCAGGGAAAATCGGTTGTAAGTACATTACCGATTTTGATTTGCGGAAATCTCCCGTCCATCGACTCCCGCCCCCGTTCTTCCGCCCATTTGCACCCGCCCGTGGAAATCTTCCGCCCACCGACTCCCGTTGACCCTTTTCCGCCCATGAAAATCTCCCCCCGTCATCATTTCCCGCCCGTAATTTTTTTCGAGTACCAGATTTTTTGTTAACATATGTATAATAATAATACATAACACAAAGTATTTAAGTTAAAATATATAAGTATTTATTTAGTCAACAGAATTTAGCGTCACTCATGTAAGATATTTTGTTGTGATTACAGTTTTTTGTAGCTAATACCTCTGTAGTGTATGACAAATTTTCTGTTTTTGAGTTAGTTGATTTTTAAATCTTTATTAATTTAAGTGAGGTTCTCCGATTTGTGATGTATTCATTATTATTTTTCGTTTTGTAAAAGTATGCTGACACTGCTTTTTACTGGTTACATGAGTGACGCTAAATGATGTTGACTAAATGAATACTTATATAAATATATTAACTTAAATACTTTGTGTTATGTATTATTATTATACATATGTTAACAAAAAAATCTGGCATTCGAAAAAAAATTACGGGCGGGAAATGATGACGGGGGGAGATTTTCATGGGCGGAAAAGGGTCAACGGGAGTCGGTGGGCGGAAGATTTCCACGGGCGGGTGCAAATGGGCGGAAGAACGCGGGCGGGAGATCGTGGGCGGGTTGCTTCCGTATACCACCGATTTTATATGCCTTGCCTGTAGATTTTACGGAAACCTTGCTTTAATTTTTTTTGTAACCATTCCAGTTTTATGTAAACTAGGTATAAGATTATAGGTCATAATACAAATTGCTTTCGAGATTGATTTATAATTTTTAGTTTCTTGATGTAAAAATTAATTAATCTTTTATGCAACTTGGTTCAATGTGCTTAAATTCTCGTAAGTTTTTCTAATCCGGTGTTTCATATAGTTTAAAATCTTTTTGTAAGGCATCGAAAACCTGATTTTACCAGAATTTGGATATCGGTATCTAATTTCGAAAGTTTGGATGCTATAATATTTACGTATGTCCTTTTGAATAACTTTCATTTATAGATAACATCTAAATTATCTGCGTGCATAATTTGGGCCGTCAGTTTGACCAAATCGTTCGTAGACATAATATTTTGCATCAACGTTCTCGATGAAAAGACACACGATTTATCCCTGGACTGGATTGCTCGGAGGTACATTGCGGCCGGAAGGTATACTTACTTCACCACATCGAACTGGAACTCGACGGTGGCTCCATCTTGGGAAGAAGCCAGTCCCGTAGACTACTCTCTGGCCATTTTGTGCTTCATCGGAGTCTTTTGTCGCCAATTTTTCTCACTATTCAATGACTCATTGTCACTCGTTTTCTGTCTCGTCCTGTGGAGCGCGGCAAATCAATTTAAAAATTTGGTTCGAGAGGATATTAAAGCTGAAAATGGCATGGTTTGTGTAACACAAAAAATTATGTGTTAAGGTGGAACTACTCCGTCATATATTTTTAATTTCACTTTACCCCTGCTCCAATGTCTTAACATGCAAATTTTTAAAATGACAGCAATTTCATGAGTTTTGGGATAAACGCAAATATTGATAGTTTAATGCAAACTTTGCATTGCAAAGTTAAATTTTGGTATTATACATAAAACTAAAAAAAATCAAATTCATGTTGGAGGAAATTTACTGTGCAAAAAAAATGCAAATGAATTAGTATTTTTTTAAATCCATAGTTTTGTAGACCAAAAATTGACTTTACATCAGACTATCAGAAGTTACAATTATTTCAAACCTTGTGAAATTGATGCCATTTTATAAATTTGCTTTTAAGGACATTTCTGTATGTATGTAGGGGTAAAGAAAGATTAAAATCTATTCCTTATCAAATCATCATCCTATCTATGCAACCTTAACTTATCACTATGGTTCTTGATACGTAAATTGCAGGATAATCCGGG